GTACGCATGCGCGGATATTATTGCGACATTACAAGCTACATGTATCAGTATTTGTGTTATTGTTTCTCAGAAACAAAGGTGGCTCACTTCACAGTCCTGGCGATGCGTCCAGTGAAGGCTGCAGTACTGAAGGATCATGGTCTAAAGTCAGACACAGTCCAGAATGCTCAGAACGACATCGGCGCGGTAAACCGCAGTCCAAATTAATCCGAGGAATGAAGGCTCGCAATGACAGCGATACTAAAGATCGCGGCGATTCTCTTCAGGCTGAAGACTCAGCAGACCTCCCCTCGCCATTCTCCATCAAAGCTGTCAATCTTCGATGTCATGGTAACCAGCCATGGCCTGTATCCGACTTRAGCATTGCATTCTGGGTGCGTGTACATAACCCGAAGAAATTTCCAGATGTAGAAATATCACGTGATCGTGTTGGTTTAGTCAGTTCTCGGCCWAACAGTGAGTGGACTGGTACYCGGTCTGACTCGATATCATGTGATGATGCTGTTCATGTTTGCTCGTTTGGGTCAAGAAAATGCTTGTTTGAAGTTTGGCTCTTTCCTTCGAATGCTTCGTTTTTGTTCAGGTGTGTAGAGCGTCATTGGGGTCAGTTGAGTCAGTGAATGAGAGAGGAGAGAATTAAGGGGACTGGGGATAAATAAATAAAGAACAACATTCTTTGTTATACTTTCTTTTGCTTCCATTCGTCAAACACAAGGCTAATTTATTGCAATTTGTGTACGTATACCGGTACAGGTTTCATACTATTGACCAATGTTTCGATACAATTGATTATTTCAGATGGACAAAGTCAACCAGGGGAAGTACTGACGGATACGATGTTACTAAAGAGCTAGTCACCAGGCATAGCTCGTTCACGCGCGGTAGATGGCATCATGTTGTTATCTCRTTATATCAGTCAAAACAAAAGTCTAATGAAGCTGTCATWGATCGAARCGACTCCTGCAAGGTATGTTGGGAACGGAGAAGGATTATAAAATGAACTATTTTTATAGACCAAAATTCCACCGTTGTAGCATTTGACTACTGCTAACTRACGTATTTATGCTGTAGATATTGCTGATAGTAGACGGTACTGATGTGACTGAACAGAGCTTCGGCCCTCCCCTCCCTAACAATGATGAGAAATGTACACTCTCTGTAGTGTTAATCGGTCANCATTTCACCATGACTATTCCAGTACAATATATTTTTGGAGGAGGCTAAAGTATGAAGAAAATCAAGAGCTTTTTTTCTTGGTATCTCGGGAGAAATATCTTGCAAAATGTCTTCAATATCGTCATCCTCAAAAATGTCACTGTCAGTGTCTGAAGCAACGCTCTCTTCAGAATCGCTCAGCGAACGCTTCATGTTGCACCCTCTGACTGCTAACCTTGAAATGACTTTTCTTCTTTATTGCTGAATCTTTTAAACCAAAAGCATGCCCAAAGCTGACATGAGAGGGGATACCACATCAGAGACAAAACCACCTCSTTGTTGAGCAAGGATTTCTTTCTTATTCTTAAAAGAAACAGATGAGTCAGCTAAATTTCGAATTTCTTCTACATGCTCTCTTAGTCTTTCTTTCTGATCATGGGAAATGGGTATTGTGCCCTTSAAGAGATTTGAGCAAACCTCACAGATGGCATGAACTTGTTCTGGAGTTGCGGTGGTTAGTAAAAGGCTCTTTTGGTGTGAAGAGCAACTACTTAAGTGACATAAATAACCAAACTGCTTACAGATTAATTGGCTCATGTTGTCTGTCCGGGCGGTTGCTTGCAATTAAATAAAACTAGAGAATACCACGACATTTATATCTTCTTCAGACATAGCCAGAGGTAGATTAATCTATTTTTCTAGTATAGATTCTAGTATAAAGTCTAGTAAACATTCTAGATTCTAGTGTAAATTTTATTATAAATTCTACTAGACAGTATAGATTCTAGATTCTAGAATCTAGATTCTAGTATAGATACTAATATAGACTCTAAAATCTAGCGTATGTAGTATAGGTTCTATACTCTACTCTAGTCTTATACTGCTATTATACTATTTTCTAGTATAAATTTTAGTAAAGACTATAGATTCTAGTATAGATTCTACCTAGTATATATTCTAGTATAGATAATAGATAATAGTATAGGCTCTACTATATAGATTCTACTATATAGATTCTAGAAGTATAGATTCTAAAAGTATAGATTCCAGAAGTATAGATTMTAGATTCTAGAATAGACTCTAGGATACTAGACCAATCACTTCAGTAATTTCATCCATTTCATCTACTTTTTTAAATGTACAATTCTATACTCTATTTTCTATACTCCCTTTTTATTTAAATCTTATTTTAGATTCGAGTATAGATTGATTAGCTAAGGGAATTTGAATAAATAAAACCTTCCTGGATGATTACGTCTCATTCTCTTACTGACACGACATGGAACGGATCTGTCCAATTTGCGCCAAGCCGCAAAAGAACATATATACTCATATGAGTCGCACTCATAAGTTAGACAAGTCACAGAGATCAAACTGGTTAGGTCAGAATAGAAATCAGAAAGGAGGTCAGCGGTTTACTCCCTACCCTAAAACCAATACAGCTGTAGAAAACTCATGTGATCGGTTTCAGTTACTCCACCCCTTTACTGCCATCGTGGCTGGGATGACAGGTTCTGGAAAAACTGTCTGGGTGCAAAAGCTCTTGGAGCACGCCAATCGAGTTATCAAACCCCCACCTCAACGTATTGTTTGGAGTTATTCTCAATGGCAACCGGCATATAACCAAATGCTTGACACCGTACATGGAATCGAGTTCGTCAAAGGTATTCCTCATGACCTTGACGAGGAGTGGTTTTTTGATTCTAAAACTAACAATGTAATTGTCATTGACGACCAAATGGCGGAAACATCCAATGACAAACGCATCTTAAATCTATTTACAAAGGGATCCCATCATCGAAATCTAAGTGTTATCTTTCTCTCACAAAATGTCTATTTTCAAGGAAAAATAATGCGCACCTTAAGTCTGAATGCTTCCTATCTCATTCTGTTCAAAAACCCACGAGATAAACTACAAATAACRACTTTGGGAAAACAGATGTACCCTGGAAAAACAAATCATTTTGTTCAAAAATACGAGGCCGCTGTTCAGCGACCTTATGGTTACCTGTTTGTCGATCTCAAACCCAACACCAATGAAGAGTGTCGACTACGAACAAACGTTCTTCCAAATGAACATAGCCCATCCCAAACTGGCGGTCAAGAGGATGTGCTGAAGGGTATCGCTGACTTTTTTGAGCGTCAAAGCTACTTGCAACCGCCTGAACTAAACATCATGCAGAGATTACAAGAGCAGATGGASGTCATTTTAAAAGACCCTAACCTCCCACCAGACGTGAAAATCAAGGAATATGGACCACTTTTAAATCGTTTCATCTCTCTACAACAACAACAACTACTTCCTAACAGTCACATCACGATACCGAAAGAGGAACTTATTCCAAACATAACCACAGTGATTGAACAGAGTCAGCCCTCTATCKCGGCTACTCCACTTCGAATCCCTCCAACAAGTGCCCAGCTGTCCGGTGACAGTGGCATTGCAACAGCTTCACCAAAAGAGCCCTCACTCTTTCAACGCATATCATCTAAAGTCAAAAAATCTTTCAAAACTCCACCGAAAATAGAAGAGATCCATATGACTCCGTCAAAATCAGACAGGCCTTCTGCTTCCACTCCAATCACAACATCGATAGAGGTCCCAACAGAATTTCCGCCTACACCTCTAACAAGTAAAGAACAATCTCCTAAGGCCCCACGGTGGATACGTTATCAAGATGTTGATAAATACCCCGATATTGATGAGCCTCCAAGAAGATCTGAACGAATACGAGCCATAGCAAAGTCCATCCCAGGCTGGGAAAAATACTAAATAACTTATAGAATATAAAAAAAGGATTAAAAAAGGCAGAATAAATTGAAAAAATCCCCTCGTTTGAATTAAATAAAAGAGTTTTCAACCAGAAAATCTTGTCCGTTTATTGTGTTATTGACTTTGTCATCATTCCATCGGAACTAATAAAGTCATCATTTTGAGACGCATTGCCATCACTGATTTGCATAGATCGGAGTTCCAATACATAAATTAACAGGTGACCATCTTTG